AGGGTAAACTCGAAGAAAAAAATTCTCCCCGTGTATTAATGTCACTGCACTGCTTGCATTTTATTGTTAAGTTAGTAGAAATCCAAAACTTCATCGGTATGACGTACGCATATCGAACTTCTTTAAAATTAAGAATTTTTATCTTTCAGAAAATTTTGCAAAATTCCCTGACTCTTCCCTGACATTTCCCTCCGATCGTTTTCAATTTCCTCCAGATTTCCTTGATTTCCAATTTTGTGGCGACTCCGTACGGAGTGAGTTTACGTTGAAAGATATCCGGCAATATCAAGTGACCTTACGCATAATACGTAATTCAGATCGCACAGAATTCACCTCGAATTATCGCACCGCCGCTCAACGCGACGTGACGCGTTGAACTTCCGTCCCGAAACGGACTCTCACGATCGCGAAGTGCCGATTTAACACGATTATCGCGTTCTTGCGAAGCGTCTTGTTCGAATCGATTGAATTGTCTTACACTCGCGTAACGGCGTACACCTCGCCGACCACCTGTTATCGGTACCTGCGTAGCGCGACGCACGCGAAACGCGTCTGAGGAAGGCGCCGCGACGTTGGCACCGGTTATCGCGGCTCCCTACTCCTTGAAGAACGGTTCCTCCAACCAAGTAGGAACCGTGGGGAACGTCTTTCGACGAAGTACACGCATGTTTCCAACTAGCTTTCGAACTAAAACCTAGACTTCTCGATATATTTCCGACACCACGTTGGTGTCGGACGTTAAATCACAAATGATCGACGACGTTTCGCCATGCGGAAAGAATCTTGAATTATTCTTGCCAAATGCACAAGAGAAAATGTAGCACAGGCTGCATAAAGTTCGTGGGAGAACTACGTAAGCCGCCGTTTCTTCGAGTCGTTATCCGCGAAGATAAATATATGGTCGTCGTAATAAAAGCCGTTCAAGGCCACTGACAAAAGCCACGTTGTTGCACGATGCTTTTTCGCGTGCGATACGAGCGCATCGCAGAATGTAATGAGTTGTTTTGCACGCTAATCACTTTCCAGAGCACGCCAATTATTCGCGACGTCGACGGTATTATTTTCTACGCTCGTACGCTCGCTTCTTGCGGAGAAGACAGACTGTAGCCACCCATTCCACCTGGTATCAACGTCGACGAAACTGCATACGTCGAATACACGGAAACACAGGCGCGCGTTAATCGTCGAGAGATTAGATAAGAAGGGACTATCGACAAGAGTTCTCTCCACGTTTGCAGCAAATATTTGAAATAACAACGATTCGATCGAGAGAATCGTTGCAGTGCCGAAGGCGTTCCGAACCGGTCATGCGAGCTCGCGATGAAGTACGTTAATTGCGTTACGCAATGACAATGACAATCGCGATGGTCGAATTTATCGCGCAGTATTAACTAAAGTATGTGGACATCGCGACGACCGCTTCGGCTTCGGCGCTGCGATCATCGCGTCGAAAATAATCGTGACCGCCACTTGTACCAATTTTAGCGGCGCGTAATATCGCGTATGCGCGGTATGATATCTAACGTTAAGTTAGATACGATCGACATCGTTAGCATTAAATTTGTTGAGGCTTTGCATCTTCCTGCCTTGAAGTTGCATATTCGTATTTCGTAACATTTAATGACTTTGAAATATCTTCTCCGATCGGCGCAAGATTTCGAAACCAAGCAGGTTTTTTTAAAAGATTATTTTACTCTCTTATTCTACTCAGAAAGAATATCGAATGTAGCGAAACAAAAACATATTTTTTACATACTTAATCTTATTACGATCTTATGAAAGTATAAAAATAAAAAATAATATTTAGATTAAATTAAATTCCTATTCTCGTGCCTCGAATTAAATGAAACTGACTTATGTAACTTCTACCAACGTAAAATAATTTTGTAGATTAACTAATCTTGGGTCAACTTACTCCTCATCTTTATCTCATTTTTAGAATTAGAAAAAGATAAAGAGTAAGGTGAACCGATAAAATTGAAGCTAATCTATTGGTAGAAATGGACATTATCGTTTTAAAATAAGAATAACACGTATTCTTACGTTTAGAATAATTTTTATCTGACTAATTTTTATCTTATAACACACGATGCTGGCGCTATAATGTTTGATACAAAACCGATGTGTCCAAAATCATTTTATTCTAAACTTAAGAATTTTTCCACTTAAAAGTAAAATATTTTTTTGTCAATAATATATAAATACATACACTGAGAAAAAATGTGTATTAAATTTCAATAAGTAATTGTTTAAATAGTACTTATATAACATTTATTTACGGAAAATAAATATTTATAAAAAATTGAATAAAATAGTAATAGGTATAATAATATAGATAAATCAAATTAATAACTCTTGTAGCAAATAAATATATGTTTACATTTAGTAAATACCGGCACTATTCGAATAAATATTTACGAAAATTTAGTACATTTTTCTCTCATTGTCCGGTATAACAGTCCCTACTTATTCATCTTGTTTTGTGACAAATCGAAGAATAATATTCTACCCGGAAATCTTTTATACAGGTGTATATAATATAATTAAATAGGTAGCGTGTTTTTCGTGTCGGTCACGTATTGTGCTCCTAGGTATTCATGTGTAAATTGAATGACAGCCAGTTCACTGTTACCTTCCCGTTAGGCAATTAGTATGCGCGACCACTATTTAGCGGAGTCGCGAATGCCCTTGACATCGTAAAACTGATGAAGTGATTTAGGGACTCTTCGACATCTTAATACGCGCAATTATTTCATCGTGACTGAATTCCGAGCGGATTTTCCGGATTGGCGATAACACTTAGATTATATAGGATTGATGGGTAAACTGAACATAATCAATCGATTACATAACAGGCCACAGATGCAGTTTTCTCTTTGTCCACACCGAAACGTTGCCATCATTTCTATCCGTCGTTTCCCGATTACTCGTTTCCCTTTTTATACAATATAAAACGTAACATCATTCTAAATATGTACATACTTCTGTTAAGTTGTTATGTTTTTAATACACGCACGCAATTAATTCGTTTCACTTTTCAGCCGTAATAACTAGTTGCTATATATCGTTACTAAACTATTTACTAATACGTTACTAATACGTTACCTTCTAAATGTTTCACATGTAAAAAAATTGCAAAAATATTTTAATAAAGCGGTCTAATCTCACGCTCAATCTTTTTGAAAAATGATAAAATATACTGGTATCTCTAATGTCATGCAGTGACGCATTCAACATTGACGGTTCGTGTGCTGTTTCACGATCTCGCGCATTCACAGGAAAGCACACAAGCGAGCACGAGGCGCATTTATATCAAATTTCTAATCGGGGCCGAGCGACTCGTCACGGTGAGATTTCTCCATATGCGAAAGTACATATTATTTTCGGTACGTTTCGCGTCGGTGATTCGCGCGCGACCAGCGACTTATGTAGAGATCCTCAAGTAAGAAACTGGACACCGTTTAGACAACTTCTGATTAGTTCGTCATAATTTTCCAGAACTGCTTAGGATAAGGTAGATGCATAAGGTGTAATGAGATATCCATGCAATTCATTCTACCTTACGCATAATTTGCCTCTTATTAATTGTTCTACACGGCTAAAAATATCATGAAATTTAATGTACTTTTACACAAGCTGAATTTAATTTCATGAAATTACGTTACATTTAATGTATTTGTAATTGAAAAGTGTATTCCTGTACACGTACGTGAAATTTAATGTACTTCTCACAAAATTTTATGTGGATCCGTTGAAATTTAATGCACGTATGTTCGTTACATTTAAAACTACCTACCTGTAATGTTTTTAACTAAATCATTCATTACTTTTCTATTATTTCATGACCAGAAGACGTTCCGTTACGCGTTACTTAAATTTATTGTATTACGAGACTTAGCAGTGTATCTTGGGCAGATCCTGAAAAATCTGGCGGATCAGTCAGAAATCTAAATGGCGTTCAATCTTTCACTTGAAAATTCCAGATTTGTGATTCCAGGGCGAACAAAGAAATGCAAATAAACGTGAACGGAACAGCTTGCTTTAATGAGCGTGACGCCGTTTGGACTCATTGAGGCGAGCTGGCTCAGTCGCGACTGTTCGCATTCATTTGTTGGAACTGGACCAGGCATTATGCGAACGTGCGGGTAACGAAACCGCGTGGTGTACCAACCGGATGAGCACCGAAGTGTTCCCGACCGACCGCGACCGCACGATTATTGCGCTTATGCTCGATCGCCCGTGCAAACGTTCGTTGCACGATCTCTTCCCTGAGCACGCGTCGTTCATGCATCCCGAGTCACATGCACCACAATGCATTATCACAACGCGCATTTAGCAAGTGCCCGCATCGACTACGTGCCCGAACTTTAATGGCTCGAAATCAATCAGTCTTAAACGTCCGACGACGCGTACACAAGATGTATGCATTTCGAAGAGATCTACGTACTTCCTCTTTTATTTTCTGCTTCTGCTAAATTTCGGATTAAAAAAGTGTTTGAATACACTGTTTTAGAGAGAGAAAATATATTAAATTTTCATAAATAATTATTCGAATATAGTATTAATGTAATATTTATTTACAAAAAGTAAAAATTTGTCAAATAAAAAAAATATTATAGTTAAATGAAATTAGTGATTTTTGCACCAAATAAATATTTGTTACATTTAGTAAATATTTAACTGGCATTATTCACACACACAAACAAATACTTATTAAAATTTAATACATTTTTCTCTCACTGTGGGATGGAATAAAAGCATTTCATTATAATTATTTAGATGTTAGCAGTTAGTTTTCAAACAAAATTATCTCCAGGTAAAAAACCGTCCGGTTGGTTAAATATGTTTAGTTTCCACGAGGGCCAGTATGCCAGATGTCATGAAACACACGGTAGAGTAATTCAGGCCGCGACACGCGCGTGAATGGACAGACGCACACAGAGAACGCAGAAGAATAAAATGTACATAATAATAAAAATGAGCTTTGTAATCGGCATTACCTTGGCGATCGTCTCTGCAGTGCTGGGATTTTGGTGGCGGCGGGGGTGCATTCGAGTATTCTATGAATGAGCGGAAAAAAATTAAAATAATAATTAGCCGTTCTACCAGCTCATGAAAATCAACTCGCGCGATTCAACGAGGAATCGCACACACGTTGCCGAGCGTTGACCTGTCGGTCAACCTGACGCACGTTTTTCTCTAATATCTAACGATATTGGTACCGCGATAGGCGGTGAATAATTTTTCATAATTCAATCGCACAGTTCAACGAACTTAAACTCTACTTTTTTAATCAACCAAAAAAAAAAAACCTAGATTTATTTCTTAAAGACACGGAGAAATTTCCCGGCTCGTCCTTCCCACTTTTGAATTCTAGGAAGACTCAATCCAGCCTAGACGCTCCAAATGGCTGACGAGATTTCAGACCTTCAAAGGTGACGGTAGGTCGCGCCATGTAGACAGGCAGAGTCGGCCACCAGGTTCTATGCTTTCGCATGGCGGTGGGCGAAGGCGGCGGAGGCGGTGGTTGGTACCTGAACCTCGGCCTGTGCTTGTCGGGGTCGAAGGATTGTCCGGCGAAGGCGGTCTGCTGCGACGGTTTGAGAATCGACGCAGGGGCCGTTCGCGGTCGCGTCGGCGACGAGGAGGTGGCACGCGGACGTTCCGGTTTCTTCCTGTCAACCGAGGAGGAACGCGTCTTCGAGGTACTGGCCCGGTGAATCCCGAGATCGGCCGGCGATGACAACGAGCGCATGTTGTCCCGCCGACTGGGGTACCGGTGCGCCACCCACTTCCCAGCCAAGTAGGGCGCGATGTCGCGAAGTTCACGCACATCCGGCGCCGACGTGAACATCTCGCCCATTATGGAGGTTCGGCCACCACCGGTGTCCAATGATTCGAATCTCTTCCGCATCCGGCAGACCGGTTTCCTCGCCTCGAGTTCTTTGGTCTCCGCTCGTCTGGTCACGTGATTGGTAACAGTACTAGTAGCTTGGGGCTCCTTCAATTCGACCGTTTTGCTGATGACATCGATGTGCGGCATCGAGAGATTTTCCCGGCGCAGCGGTATTCGCGGGATCGGTGGTGACTCGCCCCTTCGTCCTATCCGTGCTGCTCGTCCCTTCTTCGTCTCGAATTTCTTGCGCAACCACGCCACGTCGACGTGCTCGAGCTGAGGCTTCAGAGCGCCGCCTGAACGCTCCTCTCCCTCGCTCGCCTTCTTAAGCAAGCTCCGCGCCAATTCTGGATCACTGCGAAAGCGCTTCGGCACGGCGGTGATCCTGACGCGTCGTGGTAGATCCTCGGCGCTTTCGAATCTCGCGCGTAACCTACGCACCGTGCCGTTTCGCACCAGGTTGAGATAGGCTCGCCAGTACCTCTCGGGATCCGGCGACGAACTGCGCGGCCAACCGCCGCCGCCGCCGCTGTCCACGCTGCAGGACGAGTTCGATCGCGTGGTCGCGCGACACGGACTGACGCTACGCGGCCTCGCGTCGTGTTCACGCTCCCGTGAACAGGAGCGGAACGATCGTCGTTGTTGTCGCGTACTCATCACTTCCGGCAGCGTCGGCGAGCCACCGTCGATCTTTCGTTCCCGCGGCGACGTCGATCGCGACCGATCGAACCTACCGGCGGTACCGGCCAGCGAACTGTACTTGGCTAATTCGGACTCGCCAAATAGCTCTTTCAGATCAGCAAAACTTTGCGACGACGGTAGCTTCTTCTTGCCGCGAAAGGTCCACGTCGTTGTGGTCGCTGCTGTCGCCATCGGCACGATCTCCTTCCGCTGTTCTGTTCTTTTCTCTACATTCTCGAAGAACTCGATCTTCCGCAACACGTCCTCCGTCTCGGGCCCATTGCCGCGCTGGATCACCGTTCTCACTGAGGTCTCCGAACTCTCCGTCATGCTGTCTCCATCGCTGCCCGAGGCAAACTTGCTGCTCGATTTTGCTTTCTCAGTTGGTACCGTCATGGCTAACAAGGGAGGTTTCTTCGACCATTCCTCGAGTACGGTCTCCACGCGTTGCTTGTCGCTGGGGCTCTCGTTATCGGGCGTCAACACCAGCAGGAAGTCGCTCTTGTCTTTCGATTTAGTTGTGTCTTCAACGTATGGCGCTTCGAGGGAATAGCAGGTCCTGGGGGAAGTGCTGGCCACACTGGGCGTGTCGGGTGCACAAGGAGGTCTTGCGGTAGTACTCTTTGTAGACGGTTTTGTCGGCATCTTCCTGGCCGCTGAGGCAGCGGCGATGCTACCACGAGTCTCGCGAGGCGCTAAAGGCGACGATTGTCTTTTTTGCATCATTCTGTCCAGCACTTCTTTACCGAGAGTCAACGACAGCCTCTTCTTCTCTAGCTCCGACATCGACGGCGAGATCGATCTCTCTGATTCTGATCTCTCAATGCTCTTTAAACGTCCAATGGAATCGCTTTTCTTCAACGTTTTCTCGGTATCGCTCTGTTGTTTTAATATTGACTCGTTTGTCGCTATCATTGAATGGCATCGTACGTGGAGACTCTTTGAATCGTCTTGAGGATAATTCTGAGAATCGCCTTCAGGCGGTACAATAATTTCGTAGCTGGTCAAATTATCGTCTTTAGCAATGGGATTTTCTTTAATAGGTAGTTGCTGATGCTCGCTAATTTCGCGAGGTGCATCGACAACGTCGTCGTTCGATCGTTTCTGAAGACTGTCACTACCGTAAATTTCGTTCAGTTGCTTCTTCAGGTTGGTTACCTGCTCGATGGACAAACTGCTCCAGAACTTCTTGCTGCCGCCGAGACTCCTCTGTAACGATGGATGATATTCTGCGAATTTGTTAGTGTCCCGAAAATTGACATTTGCCTTCTTCTGCATCGTGCTCGCCACGTTCACGACCGAATTTCCGCGCCAGAGAGGTTTGTACGTATCCTTCTGCACGACAGCTTTTTTCTTGGTGAAGTCCAGCTCGCCTTCTTCGCTCTGAAGTCTTCGAAAATACTGCAAGATATCTTCCACGGAGCGTTCCTTGCAGCGCAACCCGCAGTCGCCGTGCCACCTAAATTTCTCAATGTCTTTCGCGCTGAAAAGAAAGTCCTTGTCACGTTGAACGCTCTTCAGCTTTCCGTAAAGCGCCTTCAGTTCCTGTTCTGCCTTCTCCTTCGATCTAACCCGTTTCCAACGATCGTAATCGATGATTTCTTCGTTTTTCAGCCGCGGTCGTAGATCCCCGGAGGAAAACGTACGCTCCAACTGATCCATCCTGCTGAGATTCGCATAGAAGTCACGCAGATCTTTGTACCGTGCCGATTTGCGTCTATGGTGCAACAATTCGAGTATATATTGTTGATAATCCTCGCGATCCATGGACGATAGTGAACCGGTGCTCTTCGTCAATGATAGATTCGAACCGTCCCTCTTAGCGTCCTCTGCCTCGCCGGCGCTTCTGGCTCTTACTTTTGTCGTAATCGTCAACGGGGCGTCTGAGTCTTCCCGCTTGGAGATGTGAGTCCTGCGTCGAGACGCCTGCGATCTCACCGGAGATGGCGAAGAGGATCTTGGTGAAGACTCTTTGGACTCAGGCAGAGTCTTCAATGGCGGCTCGCTTAGGCTTCGCTCCTTCACGTATTCTCGCGATATTGATTCTGGACTGCGAACGCGCAACGTGGTGGACGAGCCAAAATCATCGATGCCCAATAAGCTGTCAAACTTGCCGATCTTTTGAAAAACCGACCGGCCAGGCCAGCAGACTCCATACGGGCTTGAACTCCTGGACGAGACGACGCTCTCGCGTTCCCAGTTTTTGAACTTTGAGTTCGAGACCGGCCGCTTGTGCGCCAAATACACGCTCAAAGATTTCAGAGACGGCTCCGACCTGCAGCTCTCCCTCACGCTGTCCTGAAACATTTTTGCACGCTCGCTGACGAGAGACTTCCTCGTGCTTTCTTCGTGAGATTGTTCGAGCGATGGATGATTCCGTAGGAAAAGGTTCTGGAAGAAAGTGTCTGTGCGCGTTGCTTCCTGATGTTTCTTGATCTCCTCCACGGTCAAGCAGGTGATCTTGGAATCTTGCCCGACACTCGGCGCTATCTTCTCTATTCTCCTCAGTATCTTGATCTCATCCTTCTCGGCCATCTCCCTCCACCCGTTCAAAGTCTTGCTCACGTCCGCTTCATCGACGCTCTTATCTCTCCGTGTTTTCCTCCTCGCATCCATCTTTTTCCTGTCACCGTTCACAATTACGCGTATTGTCTCCGGCTTCCTCGTTGGAGTTTTGACGATCGTGTGCGGTTTCTCACGAGGTCGCTTCCTCTTGTTCATTTCACCGATCGCTTCGGAACAGGACGAAGACATCGAACGCAAGGATTCTTTGCTAACAACCAGCTTTTCTCGCGGCTTCGCGACAATCTTCGTCTTCTTTGACTCCGTCTTAGTAATCTGTGATGACGCACTTTTCGCAGGAGACTTTAGCTGGGCGCTTGACCTTTTCGTCGCCGTAAGCTGTTCAGATGTCTTTCGTAATACTTCCTGTCCCTTAAGCGAAACAGCTTTGAGAGATTTATCCACTGGACGCTTTTGTTTACTCATCGACGAGACCGTCGAGCTCTTTACTACAGTGCCCGACGAAAGTATCTTGGTCTGCACGTCCTTCGTTTCTTTCTCTTTGTGCTTCTGCAAAGCTTTCTTGACCTCCACTGGTGAGGAGAGTTCCTGTGATCTGCTTAGCCTTCTACAAGATCGTTCTTGCTCTTTCTTCGTCAAACGAAGTTTCTCTCTTTTCGCAGTTGAGAGAGGCTCCGATTTTATTCTCTCCGGAGATTTCTGTCTTACTTTAGTGGCAACAGAAACTGCGTGTCTGGATGGTACCTTTACTGCTGTGAGTTTATCAAGCTTCACTGAAGAAGCTTCGCGAATACTTCTCGATGCCGGCGACGTTGAGGAACAAGCGTGATTTCTCACACTACTTGACGGCAAGTTTAACTTCTTTGCTTCAAATTGAGTTTGTGACAGGCAGGGATCCGATTTTCTTTTACCGAAGGTGTTGGAGAGCAAAGCAGACACCTTGGTGGTCTTTGAGGCAATCGGGCTGCTGGAGGACGTGCGTACGACTGTGCTATGAAACTGCTCGCGACTTTGTCGATGCCGCTCGAGATTGCTGCAGAATCTCTCTCTTAGAGACCTGATGCTCGATACGTTATCGGCATGCGCGAAGCACTGTTCGTGCCTAGGTTTCGAATATACGGCGGTGTACGAATTATCGATCAATCGCGTATTCTCCGAGTATAATTTTCTCAAGGTTCTGCTATGGCGTGACGATTTTCTTCGGGGCGGCGAAGGAGGCCTTGGCGCCGACATAGCTTGCGAAAGAACTCTACCGGACGATGAGAGGCTATGAGGAGGAGCTCTCATGACCTGCGGCGGGGATCTTGTATCGATCGAGGATAATATCGACCATTCGTGCCACGTTGAGAATGCCGTCGTGGACGAGATGATTCTTGACGTGCACGAAGCGCTTCTTCGATGCACGCGGATCCTCGTCAGAGTTGGCGAGATCGGGAAATATTCGATCTCCGAGTCGTCTGTGGACAAAGTTTTGGAATTTGATCCGAATTCTCGATGTACCATCGCGAAGGCCCTTCGCTCTTACACCCTGCCACCCAAAGATCAGTCGTCTAAAGGTTCTCCCCTTCAAGGCTAAGCTGGTGGACGCGCCGAGCTTCGCCGGTGCAACAGCGTGCCGATGCGAGGGTTCGCCATCTCCTCATCGTGATGTTACTGCGGCTGGCGGTGTGCTTATACGTAAAAAAGAGGATTGCAAAAAGAGCTTTTCGAAAAGACCGGCTCGCGCACCAATATCGATAGATTATCGAGAGAAGAGCTGTGCTATGTTTAAACTAAAGTGAGAACGCCCGAGGTCAGGTTGCACCAATTCTACTGGTTGACTAATTCCAATTATCGATTATCTGTCCCTTCTAGATCGCAGCCTCGGCCACGGCGCGATATCTACGAAGGAAAGTTTTAGGCTGATGGAGAGGTGTCGTGGATTGATTAATTAATCAATACCAACGACGCCACCGATGCGTCGTTGATTGATTAATTAATCGATACCGGAGAGTCGAGTCGGCCGGTAAGTTTATCAGCCAAGTACCACAATAGTCGCACAAACTTGGACAGATCCACATTGTTCCACGGCAGGCCTCTCCTCCAGCCTAATTAATCGCGATTAGTGTTAACTGACGTTGATGCAACCATCTTCGGGAGGTTACACATACAAAGAAAATTCATACGTATGTAAAAGCTGTGTGCTTCGAACAGAGCACTACTCACACGTCATGCCACGCGCTTTTCAGCATAGATCAGCATCGAGAAATTGAAATATTCTGAGCGAAAAAAAATCGTCTCGACTTTCGTCGACACATTCAATTTTGCGAAACATCGAGGATACTTTTTTAATCTCTCCCCCCCCCCTTCATTCATAAATAATTCGAAATATTTATAAATCGATTATAACAATTTCACTAACAATAAAAATATAATACTAACATTTTATAATCTTCCAACAATGTGAAACTAATTTTTTTCTCATCACTCGAAGTTTCAGGACGCATGCGTAATTGACAAAACACAATGGTAATTAATAAAAATGCACACACATTGCAAGCAACCTTAAAACACACACCCGCATGCCAAAAAAATAAACTCGAGTTACACGGCCGATGTTGCTCAGCGTGCTGACTGTAGCAAATTAAGACGTATGAAAAAAAGTAAGGAACAAAAGAAAAATTAAAACGCATACAGCAGACGAGGGTCGGCTGAGGGGCGACTCACCCTTCGGACGTTCTGGAGCTGGCTTGCGAAGCCCATGGAGGGGTACGTCACCACCGCTCTGCACCGTTTTGTATGCTAGTCTCTGCTCCAAAAGGCTGAGCGGACTAATATCTTCTCGTCGGCGGAACACCAGCGTCGAGTCGCTCTCGTAGCCTGACTCTTTGAGGGCACTTCGCAAATGAGAAACGCCGGTGAGAGACACCGTGGGATGACGGCTCGATTCATTACACGGAATTAAAGGGATCAGGAATTGACGTTGTACTTACTGAGTTATGTACGGCTTGGCCGCGGCACGTGCGTTGCTGCGCTGATCGAAAGGCTGGAAAAGAGGGAAACGGCATTATTGTTACCGTCCGTTATATCGACGGTCCTCGATCTAGATAATATGTACGAAACATGCTACGTATACGCTACTTGACACAAAACGTCGCACGGCGCAAGAGATACGATTACTCGATATTCGAGAACGAGTGGTGTTTAATCGACATGAGCAATCACATCGAGCGGGACATCGAGCAAATCATGCCGCAGTCGTGTAATGCTAAGCCAGGATGAAGAGGAACGCGGCAGGCTTAAGCTAAGACATAATCCGAAGGGGATGAAAGATACAAGAGGAGGTAACAAGTATGTGACAAGGAGATACGAGGAGATCGACAATAGCCACTTGTGGTGCAAATGTACTTGTGAGCGATTTTGTAAATCAGATAAAGAATTATGTCAACATATGAATTATTAATTCTCAAGAACTAAAAATAATTGATACCGCTCAATGAGCTCGTGTAATTCTCTGCTTCTGCAATAAAATATTTCGTTCATGCCGCATTGAGTGATGTGTCGAAAAAAAATATTTTCTAGTGCTTTCGAAGTTTCGCAATGTACAGAGAAAGCGCTAAGAACACGTCTTTAATTTCTCCGCAAGTAAAGTACTGTGTGATAGATTGAAATGTGTGAAACAGGCATGTAAGGAAAATCAAAAGAGAAATATAGAATCATGTTAAAAAATATTTTCCAGTGTCTTTGAAGTATGTTTTTCGCGATACAGAGAAAGCGCTAAAATTGAAGACCGTCAGTATTCATAGTCCGTTCATCGATGTATTCAAAACCGTCTTAAGTAATACTTTGAGATGCTAATACGACTTTGTGATGACATCTCAAGACTATACTTAAGACGATCTTAAATATAAGAACTCATTATGAATACCGGTCTAATAACTTCTTCTCGGCAAGTAGAGTGTTGTATAATGATATAGATAAAAAAAAATGTGTGAAACAGGCTGTAAAGAATGAAGAGAGAGAGAGAGAGAGAGAGAGAGAGAGAGAGAGAGAGAGAGAGATACAGAATCATGACAAAAATGCAGAGAAGAAAGTGAGAGAGATGACTCGACAGCCAGATAAAGAAAGAGAGACAGCAGAAAGATATATATAGACAGATAGAGGACAACGTCATCGTGCACTCTACTTGTCGACGATGTGGCAGCCGTTCTAACCCGTGAAACGGCTTGCGTGGTGATAACGGAGGGTGTTGTCGGTGATGGTGGTAGCATGATATGATCAGTGCTGGAAAAAGAAGAAGAAGTAGAAGAAGAAGAGAGCGGCAGTCGCTGCTGTTCTTGGTTTTGATGGTGGGACTGTTGATGGTGGCGATGTTGATGATGATATTGATGCTCGGAATGATGATGGTGATGACCATGATGATGACGATGTTGCTGCTGCTGCTGCTGCTCCTGTTGCTGCTGCTGGATGCTGTTATTGCCGATCGAGCACGGCACGATCGTGGCGACGGCCGGAAGCGGCGATACTGTTGATCGCTCAATCCCGACCGGATGCGATCGACGCGCCGGGCAACGATCCGGCAACACGAAGCTCTTGGATCTTCCATCCAGCATGCTGCCGGCGGCGTGCCAATAGCAGGGATCAGCGGCAGCGGGGACGGGGGCGCGTTCCAGAGGTCGGATGATGCGACCGTCTTTGGCATTGTCACCGGCGGCGGTTGAACGATCGTTCGATCGATCAGTAGATTCGACCGGTAGGATCAAGGACGACTTGGACCGATCTTGGATCGGAGTTCTGGACCGGTGCGCGCGCGACTTGCAGGATAGATCGATCGACCGGTCGGTCGCACCTTCCGGTGCCACTGGACGCGCCCGCCTTACGCCGCCGACGAACTCGGAGCTTTTCGTGCTGCTGATTGCCGGTATCCTTACACTGTCCTCCGGCCGGTAGGAAAGGCTGAGGACGCGGGACTGCCGGACGCCACCGCCCAGGGACTCCATCCTAGCGTGCTGAGGATGTCCGTTTTCGTTCAGCCACTGTCACCATCGTAGTCGTCGTCGTCGTCGTCGTCGTCGTCGTCGTCGTCGTTGTCGTCGTTAGAAGGAGGTGGATAGCGGTGTGGGATGACATACGAGCGGGCACGACACGCAAAACATCGACGAGCACGCACACGCACACACACGATCATCGGGGACGTCGGTCGCGATCATCTCGAGCGAACGATGATCGGGATCCGGGACGATTCGACGATTCATAGGACAGGAGTTCAAGACGGAAGACATTAGGTGCAATTGGTAAAACGACATACTGTGCGTAAGTTAAGACATGGATCACCGTATACGTGACGGTCGTATCGAATATCGCGATGAAATTAATTAATAGTTCTTTGCACCCGGTAATATTTCTCCGTATAAATCCTTCGATTTTAATTATCGTTATCGAAAGATCTACGATACTTTAAGTGATATCGGGGAAATCCCCATGAGGCAGGAGAATTGCGTGCACTCGGTCGGGTGCACGGACATCGATTATCGGCAATAGCGCAATAAGCTGCCTTCAGTCATCGCGTTTGACGCTAACAATAAGTTGCACGAGAAAACACGCTGATCGCTGTTTTTATTGACTAACTTTACAAACAGCGTATATCACACAAAGATTGGACTCGAAGTACACATCGTGAAATGCAATAATCACATTAAAGACGCGCGATTCGTTCACGAGAGAAATTGAAATTTATTTTAGAGATGGCAGCTTCTTATTCGTAATTCTGATTTCGCGACAAAATTCTACGAGAGAAGGAAAAGAAGATTTATGTGACAACATAATAATTCTACGAGATCCCTCAAGGCGATGAGCTACCAGGTTAATTCCGAAGTAATGGAAAATGTTAATTTTAATTCAGTCTTACTATCTACGCGGAAGAAAGAGTACCAATAGATAGACCGAGGAAAGAGTAGAAGGAATAGAGAAACGGAGAGAATTCTTATTTAACTAGGCATTAATATAAAAATGGCGTACCCCGTCAAATATGTCCATGACCTCGTCCCACCACTAGAATCACAGAATTAAACACAGTGTTATACTAGGCGCTATCTAAAAGGGTTACTGAAACATTTAGATTCGAATAAAAAGGAATAAACGAATATCCGGATATTCTTGCCATTTTCCATCTAAAATAAGAGAAGACGTCGGATAATCTACCGCTAAATAAATACCACCAAGGAGAAAAGCTAAATTACGAATTTTTCTAAAGTAAATTAACAATTATATAAATTATAACTAAAATATATAATAAAATTGCACGTTGAAATTGAAGGTAAAAATTACTAGTTGAAATGATTAAACAGAATTAAGTAAAAAAAATTTAGTAGAGTTCGTTACATCCCAATTTTAGATGGAAGTCGACATAAAATTTAAACATAGGATCAACTACAAGCAGCGCTACAAAAGCTGTGTAAAAATCAATGGGGTTGTACTATGTGGAGCCGCAGAGCACCCTGAAGAATGCGATTCTCTTCACTCGAGGAATAATAAGAGTTTATGTATGTAATTACCATTATTTTTAGTAATTGCTCTCTCGGGGGGACTCTGCGCGCTCGCAACATACGTGCGTGCTTGGTGTATAGAGAGAACTGTGTCTGCGCTGTGTGTATCTGTGTGTGTGTGTGTGTGTGTGTGTGTGTGTGTGTGTGTGTGTGTGTATGTTAAAGAAACGCAATAACCACCACAAGGGTGGAGAGAGCAAGAGCTCGCAATCAATTAACTCGTGATCGCCAAACAGAAAAGCTCTCAATAAACGGAGGAAACGTATAAGTTGGCCGGCAAAAGCAACTCGTTTTTATTTAACACGTTCGATTGGCGTGATTACCTTCCTTCTTGTCCGCGCGTCGTAAGTTGGCTAGAAGCAAAGCCATTTCAAACGATCATGTTCCAGGTGTGTGTGTCCAGGTAATCTTGGGAATCTTTTAGAGAAAATCGCGATCGCGCCGCGTCGCGTTCGTCGCGATAAGAAAATAACAAAAAAGGAAGCGAAATGTCTGCACGAATTTCTACTGCCACTCTCGCAATATATGGCTGGATGTCACACGATACAAAATGATATACTGCACGTTC